TCTCTGTTACCGTCCTGGGCTCATTTCAGTGGTGGAGATTCTCATCTATTTGAGTACTGGAAGCCTTCTGGAACCTACACCTGCTTCCAGCACATTCAGCCTCTCAGCATGTATAAGCAGTTACATTTCTCATCGTTACCACATTTGAACTTTAAGAATTTGAAAACTGTCAACGTAGAGCTCCCTGCTCTTGAACTAATTTTATTTCTTGCTCCAACAGTCTTCACTTTCTGATTTTAAAACCCAGATATAAACTCACTTTTATATATTGAACAAATATTATACCCAGGTGAATGTGAAATGAAACAGGCTACATGAACATTAACCATTACATTCAAATACAAGCATACTCAGATGTTGAAACTCCTCCTAGATTACAAAAGGAATAAAACACACAATTATCAAGTTGAAATCGCAATGCTCTTTCAGTATTTAAATATGTATATTAAACAAGGCATGACTGCTTCCCAAATAACTGTGTGTGTGTATAAATATTAGCCACAAAGACTTCAACTACATGTATTTAATATATCTATATTATTATTGTAAATAATACCATGCTATAATGTCCTATTAAAGGATAGGGGATCATATACTACATCCAGAGATTCTACTCGAACAGTGAAATTATATCTATCATTTTAGATAAGATGTAAGTAAGACTACATGATATGGATCAATCACTTAAACCAGAAGATTCACCTAAATAATTTTTTTAAGCAGCTTGTTTGTTTATAAATGTGATCACATACTGAAAAACAAAATCCTTTAGGGGAAGAATATGCATTGGTGCTAGTGAGTCACATCAAGCCTAAAACAGTGTCTTGGCATGTCCAACACAGAAGCCAACATGAAAGAAGATTCCTGATATTAAACAGATAAAGATTTAAGATTTTTCAAAATCTTAAACTTGTCTATTTGACAAGTGTGGCAAGATTTCCAAATTACTATAGCCTCAAAAACCCTGCAAGTACCTACAGGTAGTCCCTGACTTATGACATGTTAGAGTTACAACAAACCTCACAACTATCTGTTGTTGTTTTTTTTGGTACATCTTACAGTTAGTGAAAACCCTGGTGGCATAGCGGTTAAGAGCTATGGCTGCTAACCAAAAGGTTGGTATTTCGAATCTACCAGCTGCTCCTTGGAAACTGTATGGGGCAGTTCTACTCTGATAGGGTCGCTATGAATCGGAATCAACTCGATGGCAACAAGTTTTTTTTTTTTTTTAATAGTACAATAGTACTACATACAATGTTGCAGCATGCAATTTGCCGATGTTAACATTCTCAGATATTCACTTGTAGATGTTAAAAGATCAGATTTATAAAGGCATTGATAACAAAAGGTAATAATAACGAAAACTAAAAAAAAAAAAAAAAAAAAAGTAAGTATCTGACTTACGTCAGAACCGACTTAGGGAGGATTAGTCAGAAGGGAACCCCTTCGTAAGTCTGGGATTACCTGTACAATAAAGAGTGGTGTACCACTTTTAACCTGGAGGTCACCTTTCAGCCAATAATATACTGGCTTATAAAATAAACAATAACACCCATGAGGAATATGCTCCTTTAAACAATCAACTATACGAGACCAAATGATCAACATTTGTACTAAAGCAAAGATGAGAAGGCAAGGAGGGGCAGGGAAACTAGATGGGTGGAAATGCAGCAGACAGGGTGAAAATGGTGAGAGTGCTGATACATTACAGGGATTGTAACCAAGGTCACAGAACAATGTGTGTATGAATTGTTCAATGGGAATCTAACTTGCTGTGTAAACTTTCACATAAAACACAATGAAATATTCAAAAAAAAAAAAATGACGTACAAGTTAGATAACAAGCTTTGTGGTTGAATAAAGGATCTTTACCCTCAGTGATCTGCAGGTGAGAATACACCTATACTACAATGTCATGACACACTAGCAGTATGACCAACATTCTATGGGGACAGACGATAGGGGTTTTCTGAAGTATAAACAGCATTTTTCACAAGATGAAAAATTGGGGGAAAGGGTATTCCAGAGTAAGCCTTCAGTCTAAACAAGAGCTGAAGGTTTAAAAATGTATGACATGATTTGGAAACAAGTAACACTGTATGGTTAGACCATAGAATACATGGAGGGGGAGTAGGTGAATATAAAGCTGAAAAGGTAAGTTGTGAAAAGCCTTATATTCCATGCAAGGTAGTTTAAACTATTATCTCAAGTCAATGAGGAGATATCAAAGGGATATTTATATACAGGGAAGTGATGATCAGAACTATAGTTGAGAAAGAAAACTCTGATGGAAGGACCAGACTTGGTGGGAAGAGAGATCTGACATAGGGAGGTAATTATGGGGCCAATGCAACTGCCCAAATGAGAAACGACACAGGTACGAAACACAGCAATAAACTGGGGGGGATCCACATGATATTTCAAAGTGAGAATAGATAGAAATTAGACTGGATCTGGAGAGAGAAAACAACCACCAAAGATAAGCATGCCATTTCTAACTTGGATGACTAGATGGATAGTGAGGCTATTATTAACTGAGATAGAAAGCAGAGGAGGATGATCTTGGGGGACTTCTGATAGTAGTCGGAATAAAACAACTCATTACATATGTTCATTTGGAGAAACCTATATGACATCCAAGTTAAAATGTCCAGGTAAGAATGGAAAAGAAGTGTTGGCTTTTTCAATCAAAACAAGCACGTTGAGGTGTTGTTGTCAGGTGCCATCAAGTCAGGCCTGACTCATAGTAACCCTACGTACGAGAGAATGAAACACTGCCCCATCCTGTACCATCCTCTCAATTGTTATTACGCTTCAGCCCATTGTTGCAGCCACCGTGTCAATCCATCTTGCTGAGGGCCTTCCTCTTTTTCTCTCACCCTATATGTTACCAAGGATGATGTGCTTCTCCAGGGACTGATCCCTCTTGATAATACATCCAATGTATGTGAGACGAAGTCTCGCCATCCTTACTTCTGAGGAGCATCCTGGCTGTACTTCTTCCAAGACAGATTTGTTCATTCTTTTGGCAGTCCATGGTATATTCAATATTCTTTGCCAACACCATAATTCAAAGGCATCGATTCCTCCTTAGTCTTCCTTATTCATTGTCCAGTTTTCACACGCATATAAGGTGACTGAAAACACCATGGCTTGGGTCAGGTGCACCTTAGTCCTCAAGGTGACATCTTTGCTTTTCAACACTTTAAAGAGATCTTTTGCAGCAGATCTGCCCAATGCAATGCGTCATTTGATTTCTTGACCGCTCTTCCATGGGTGTTGATTGTGGATCTAAGTAAAATGAAATCCTTGACAATGTCAATCTTTTATCCATTTATCATAAGGTTACTTATAGGTCCAGTTGTAAGGATTTTTGTTTTCTTTATCTTGAGGTATAATCCGTAAGTTCTCAAGTCCTCTTGAAGGTTGTGTCGTCTGCATAATGCAGGTTGTTAATGAGTCTTCCTCCGATCCCGATGCTGCCTTCTTCTTCATATAGTCCAGCTTCTTGGATTATTTGCTCAGCATACAGATTGAATAAGTACAGTGAAAGGATACAAGCCTGATGCAAACCTTTCCTAACTTTAAACCACGCAGTATCCCCTTGTTCTGTTCGAACGACTGCCTCTTGATCTACGTACAGGTTGCTCATGAGCACAATTAAGTGTTCTGGAATTCCCACTCTTCCCAGTGTTATCCATAATTTGTTATGATCCACACAGTCAGATGCCTTTGCATAGTCAATAAAACACATGTAAATATCTTTCTGGTATTCTCTGCTTTCAGCCAGGATCCATCTGACATCAACAATGATATCTGTGGTCCCACATCCTCTTCTGAATCCGGCTTGAATTTCTGGCAGTTCCCTGCTGATGTACTGCTACAGCTGCTTTTGAATTATCTTCGGCAAAATTTTACTTGCATGTGATACCAATGATATTGTTTGATAATTTCCACATTTGCTTGGATCACCTTTCTTTGGAATAGGCATAAATAAAGATCTTTTCCACCCAGTTGGCCAGGTAGCTGTCTTCCAAATTTCTTGGCATAGATGAGTGAGCACTTCAGCACTGCATCCGTTCGTTGAAACATCTCACTTGGTATTCTGTCAACTCCTGAAGCCTTGTTTTTCACCAGTGCTTTCAGTGCAGCTTGGACTTCTTCCTTCAGTACTATGGGTTCCTGATCATATGCTACCTCCTGAAATGGCTGAATGTCGACCAATTCTTTTTGGTATAGTGACTCTGTGTATTCTTCCCATTTTCTTCTTATGTTTCCTGCATTATTTAATATTTTCCCCATAGAATCCTTCAATATTGCAACTCGAGGCTTGAATTTTTTCTTCAGTTCTTTCAGCTTGAGAAATACGAAGTGTGTTCTTCTCTTTTGATTTTCTAACTCCCGGTCTTTCCGTATGTTGTTATAATACTTACTTTGTCTCCTCGAGCTGCCCTTTGAAACCTTACGTTCAGGCCTTTTACTTCATCATTTCTTCCATTTGCTTTAGCTACGTGACGTTCAAGAGCATACTTACTCTTATTAGCTGAATCTACCAGTTAACACTATACTTTCCATATATTAACAGACCATATATACCTTTAACCTCTCATTTCCTGGCTTTATTGCTTCCTAAAGATATGCTTGTACCTTACCAAGCTCAAGAAATTAAAATGTGATGCAAATTTTCTATACTCTTCCTGAAGAGCGTGAGTGTTCAGAGCTTGTGTATGGCACTTCCATCTTGCTATTAGAAAATAATCAGAAAAGGACTGCTTGAGTTTCATGAGGATGTAGAAGGGACGGGAAGGCAATTTCTTTCAATTGTTTTAAAATTTGGCCCTCAGAAGTCTTCTAAAAGAAGTGAGTAGCACCCAAGAGTTACAGCAAGGTCATATGTGAAGATGAGTCACACTGGAGACACGGCTGTTACGCAGTGAGAGCTGGGATAGTTTGGGACATACAAGAGAAAAGGGACAAACTTAAAGGAATGCACAAGTTACCTTCAACATCACAACTCAGGTAGTTACGCACTTCATTCAAAATGAAGTTGATATCTTCTTCTGAAGGAATAGGATGGTTTGTAATATCAGTTGGAGTATCGGTAGTGCCAGCTATCGTCATCTTTTGCCAGGGTAAGAAGAAAATAACTCGCCCATCACTGGTGGCTGGGTCAAGAAGTCCCATGTTCTCTGGGCTAAGGTAAAAAAAGAACGGTTATTTATTTCTGAAATTAGCAGAACGTTAATCTTAATCTGCATTATAAAAACAATTTCATTCACTGATGCTCAAATAAAAAAAAAACATAAATTATTACTTTTATGGCCCATACCCTAATCTAGAAATTCCTAAAAGAAAAAAATAATTCTGGTTAAAAAAAAGTGGGGGGGGGCAAATGTGACAATAATGATAGTCTCCAGCAGAACTACTCTCCACACATCAACAACACAAGGTTAATTAAGCAAGTGGACATCAACCTCCAGTTGTTTTGGTTTTTATACTCCTTGGACCATTCACATCAGATAATGCCAACAGGACAAATGTCTATAACTTCTTTTATGATGGTTAATTAAGAATAGCTTTCAAACTTTTCCAAATCTATGAAAAGCATTTTCCTGGGACATTTGACATTTCACCCATCTTTCAATAGAAGGTCTCAGAAGTACAAGAGAAAGTGAAGGGTCTAAGTTTCTAGAAACTAAAATGTAATCAAAAAGTTCTTTACTCCTTGGTACTTAGATGAACTGGGGCCACTTCACCAAATATGAGATTTCTTACTTTATTTCAAGGGCATAGAAATCTAAAGAAGTACATCCATGAGAAAAGGGTTCGGCTTCATACTACAACCTAAATAACAATGTGCTAAGATAAGGTCAAGAAGGAGAGGAATACTTTAGCAATGAAAATCCTTAAATAGACAGAAGTCACTAGTGTTTTATACTGTTAAATCAAGGTTCAAGGGTACCTCTTCTGGCAGATTATATAAAATCTTCCAAAATATTAGTCAAGAATTTTCACTGACATATTCTTAATATTCTGAAACCAAATTATAAAACACATTCGAAAGAATAAACAACTAAAAATAAACATTAACAAGTCAGATTTTGTTTTTAAATCACTAGAAACTGCTGTTTTAATGTATTATTAACCATTCAAGAAATTTTGGAGGGGTGGGAGGAATCTGAATGTATCATATTCAAATAGAACACTATATATCTTCAGTTAGCTGTTTCAATTTGACTGAATTTTCATATTAAATCAATATTAAAGGTATTTTCTGTAAGTATATTTCTAGCTTTTATTAATACAATTTCTTAAATAAGAAACAATTCTATTTGGTTTGAAAAAATTTCAAGAAATCCCTTTTACACATACAAAATTAAAAAGGCATCAACTTTTTATGGCTATCATTCCCTTAAAATTAAAAAAAAAAATTTAAATTGATTCAAATGTGTAAGGATAAGCTACTAACAACTGTTTAAAAGGAAACAAAAATATTTTTTCTTCTTTTTTTTATAAAAAAGAAATCTAAGGTTGGCTTAGGAAATCCATGTTCATTATTCAAACCATAAGGCATGCTAGTCTTTCTTTACAAACACCCCTCAACCCTATGCAACTCCTGATATCTCTGTTCAGTCTTTGCAGAAGGAAATCACTTAACAACCTCCCTGAGAGACACAGAAGAGAGTAGGCTGCAGTTCTTCTACCTAGCAAATGCAAAAAGTGCCACAGGAGCTTGTCAATCAGTCAAACCTTCAGTTGAAAACCCATCTTCACTTACGGTTATTTAGAAGAAATAACCTTTCACTCTAATATATTGAAAATTATTGAGTATCATGTATTTTCAGTCTCTGTATGACTATACATCTTTTTCTATATATTTGTCATAAAACTCTCTAAAAGTCTTTAAAGAAACTGGCTATCCTGGGCTTTGATTTTCGGGTGATATGTCCCTAGGTTAAATCTGTCACTTTGGGATTTGAAATTAACCCATTCAGAATTCAAGTATTCAATCTGACAAGCTGTTCTACATTGAAACAAAAGGGTAAATTCCATATTCCAAAATATACACTTTACATATAATCATTTTATGGACCAGATATCACATGATATGCCTAAATAACTCAATAAACCTGATAAACTTCAGCATAAAATTGTACTATTCAGCAACCTTCACATAAAATGCTGTTAGGAAAGCACAACCACTGAATCCTTTAAAACTTTTCAGTGCAATAAAACTAGTTTAAAGGGTGAAGGTGATGGTTACCAACATACATACAACTGGGAACTGAGAGAAGCAACTGCTTAAGTGAAGACATATGTGTCAAACATTAAGATTAACAAGCACAGAGGGAAGACAAGGCTATCAATGAATGGCATAAAAATTTAAGAATCCACTTGGAAATACCATTCTTAGTTCTAAACTGCCTAATTCATACCCTTTAGAAAAAAGTTTGTTTTCTTATGAAAGATTAATTCTGCAGGGTCAGATTTAAGTTTAAGAATAGATAGCAACTATACTGGTAGTATATACAACACAGTGAAGCATAGGTCTTTTCGCAGTATGTATGATTCATTTGACAACAGGAGGAAAAGCTTGCTGCTAATTTATGTGTGTGTGTAGGATCAAATGTAATGTACATTTTTCTCATGCAGACCACTGCTTTCCTGAAGTACCCTTATTTAAACTGAAATTGATTAACTGTTAACTACTTAGCAATCAGTGTTACAGCTAACAGTATGCACACATTTTACAGATTACAAAAATGTTTTTGACCTCTTGTCAGTATTAAAAACCATCAGTAGGCTAGAAGGAGATTATTATTTTCATGTATTTTAGTCATTTCGTATATTGTGGCTGGCTTTGGAAGAGCCACAAGCCTGAAAAGAATTCCAGACTTGTTCTTAATGTAAACTAAAGATTGCCTTTCTTAAAAAAAAAAAAAAAAAAAAAAAGATTTCTGTGTTTTGGGTTTCCTGAAATTAAAACAAGCCAAAAAAGCTGCCACCATAGCATAAGATGGTTAAGAATTCTGCTGCTAACCCAAAGCTTGGCAGTTCAAATCCACCAGCCGCTCCTTGGAAATTCTGTGGCAGTTCTCCTCTGTCCTATAGGGTCGCCATGAGTCAGAATTGACTTGATGGCAGGGGGTATGGCATAAGATAATTCCACACGTGGAATGTTAGCTGGGATCATACAAGCTTAATAAATGCCATAAAGATACTTCTGAAAGCAGCCCAACAAGATACACTATACACACAGTCCTCACTCTTCTTTTGGTAACCTACACTCAATAAATCAGTGGTTACTGAACTCAATGCATGTCCAGGCTAAACAGGTTATAGCTGAAATGCTTGGTTGTAAGTCATCGTCAGCCAGTTCAAGCGCAGCCCCAGGTCTAGACTAGCTCTGGTCCTTCCCTAAGGATCTAGTCAAAACCCTTGAGTTGTAACTGCTGAGTGTGGCTGATTGATGAGCCCAGCAAATTAATTTCAGTCTCAGATCTCTGGAACTCAACCAAGAGAATGACTTGATATGGAGAGCAAAACCATCCCCTTATGTAGCCAGAGCTACAGACACCTCCAGGCCAGTGCTAAAAGAGGAAATAAACCCTTAATCCAGGCCACAATCCAAAACCAAGGGGCTCATCTGAAACAACGTCTGAATGGGAATCGGGCTGCAGAGCACTACTCTTAAGGACTCCAACAGGATATGTAGTGGTTGTAGTTCATGGTGCTAAAAATGGGGGTATTAATTTCTTCCAAAGGAGAACAGGATGATTTATCTTTGAATGAAGCAGATGTAGCTGTGACTAACACCTTCATGATTTATGGGGAGGGGGCCCTAAACCAATGCCAATATTTTAGGATTAAGAACGGAATTTTGTTTTTAAAATTATACATTTAAGTAGTATATATTTCTTAAAAGGTATCTGTCCACTACTTTATTAAGTATACAAAGCATAGTACATAACAGTGTGTGTAAAATGATCCTTTTCATGCAAAACTTTTAAAAGGATATATATTTGTGCAAGTATAAACATAAAATTTTATGGAAGTAATCAGAAGAAAGTGTTACCAATTACTAGAGAAGAACTGGGGTTGGAGGTGGCATGAGAAAGAGGACGGAAGTTTTCACTTTTTATTTGTATCTATTTTTTGCATTTCTATAGTGATTGACATTTCTGATAATGTATTTATATTACTTTTATTATTATTTTCCTACATGGGTGATCTGAGCAGTAAGATGAAAAATCGTATTTTGTTTCAAGTTTAAAATTGTCTTAAAAAAAAAAAAAAACTCTCATAGGGAACCCAAGGTCGAGAAGGGGAGAGTGTTGACAGGTCATGGAGTTGGCTACCAATGTCACAAAACAATATGTGTACTAACTGTTGAATCAGAAGCTAGTTTGTTCTGTAAACCTTCATCTAAAGTACAATTAAAAAAAAATACAAATAAAACTCTTAAAAATGTTACAGAGCCCTGGTGGCACAGTGGTTACAGCGCTCAGCTGCTAACTGAAAGGTCAGTGGTTTGAACCCAGCAGCAGCATCGCAGGAGAAAGTTGTGGCAGTCTGTTTCTGTAAAGATTACAGCCTTGGAAATCCTATGGGGCACTTCTACTTTATCTTACAAAGTTGCTATGAGTCAGAATTGACTCGATGGCAATGGGTTTGGTTTGGTTTTTGGTATAAATGTTATATTAAAATTTAATTTAATAAAAGCAACAATCTAAATTTGGGCAAGTTAACACAAAAGAGTCATTTAACAAATATTCACTGGTAATGCAGACACTGTCCCTGTTAAGACATAGCAGTCAACTAAACATGAAAATAATCAAAGAAATATTGTTTAAATGTATATAAGTTAGGTACTCTCGTGAGATAAGGAATCAGATGCTCAAAGGAACTTGCCCAAGGTCATAGTTAGTAAGAGGTAAAGAGATTAACAAATTCAGAGAGTTTCACACCAAGGTATCACTTTAACCCACTCATGGTACTATCTCCTTATCTGTGCCTCCTGAAAGAGTAGAAAGTCTTCCTTTTTTAAAGAACAGAAAACTAAGGTTTACAGAGTAAAATGGCTTGTCCCAAAGGCTATTATTATTAAGTGAAAGAATTAACATAAGGCCTCTGGGGAATAATAAATATCCTCTGACATCATGGGACAATAGTGAAGAAAACACAATACGCATGAGAATATTCTGAACCTAGCAGGTATCCAAACAAATATCAGGGATTATGATGATATGTGTGTCTACAGTTTAGGTATTACATCTATACCCTATTCTTAGAGATGTTAAAAAACAAACCAAAAACTTATAAACTAGCTGGCCTCAGATATTTTTAACACAACAAAAAATAAATGTATACAATTGTGTCTGGCACTACTGTTGAAAATCTCTCTATATACAAGAAGCATATGTGACATTTACATATGCTTACTTCTCTTCCTTTCCTTTGAACTAAACTTCTGCTTAACAGTTGTTTTTCGTTTTGTTTTTTAACTCTATTAGGTACCACTGCATAAATTTTTATTATCATGTCTGGAAGTACCTTGGTTTCTCCAGTCCAAAGTCAAAATACTAAAGACTGTCTACTTCTCTCATGTAGACATTTAGAAAATGAGAGAATAACTTTACTTTAGAAGTTGGTGGATGAAAAATTCTCTTTAATATTTTTCTCAGTAAAAATGCATTTGGTACAAATTAGGTGTATCTTCTCGAAGATTTAGTTACTGGAGAACCAGTAATGCATAAGGCAGTGTCATTTATAACTTAGCAGGATAGCACTCTAGGAGAATTCAGATAATATGCAAGATCATGAATTCTGCCCATCTATTTTATCAATTACTAAAAGCCTTATATGTCCTTTATGGAAAATTATTAAAATATGGAAGACAATCACTCTCACTCATAACCATATCACCTAAAAATAATTATCATTAATTCTCACCCTTAATCACATTACCTAGAAATAATCACCATTAACTAACATATTTCCTTCCAGTATTTTTTCTATATATTGATATATTGTTTAGATCATACTGCACATATAGTCTTCTGTCCTACATTATAAACTAACATTGTACCATTACTGTTTGCCTAGGACATTGAGGTTATTTACAATCTTTTTTTTTTCATCACTATCCCTCCTGTGGATATGCTGTAATTCACTTATCTATTCATCTAAGGTTAGGAACTGAAGCAGTTTCTAATGATTTTCAACTACAAATAATGTATAATGACTACCTCTATGCATAAATCATTATTTTATACAGAATTACCAGATTACCTAGGAGAATCACCACATATGGAAATAAAAGTGGTACGTGTGTTCCGTACTCTTAACACTGCCACCTGAGTTCTTTTCTCCGACAGTCTTAAAATATATATTAGAGGTAATTGTTATTGATTTCCAAACTAGAACCACAGAAATGTCTCTTTTAACTTAATTATTAAAAATTTCAAACACATACAAAAATCGAGAAAAGAGTATAATGAACCCCCATGTACCCATCACTCTACTTAAATGATAATTAACAGCAATTTTTATTTCACCTCTACACCTACCATTTCTCTATCCCCAATTAATTTTGTTAATTTGATAGATTAAAAATTACATCTGATTAGTACTTCCTATATCCCTTATTAAAATACATTTCAAGGTTATAAAACTAAGAGTACGTGAATGGCTCACTTTTTCAGGTTCTTCGTAAGCAGAATGCCCAAATTTTACAAATTAAATTTTTAAGGTTTTAATTAAAACTAAAATTCAGTATTACTGAGGTTTAGTCTCTGAAGATTACTACACTGGACAAAGTAAACATATAGGCAGATCCCAAATCATCAACCCCTAGAAATGAGTATTGCCATAAGTGGCTAAGAAATTCCCAAGCCTGGTTTGTGTTTTGGAGGAGTTACTTATTTCTCCTCATTTTGAACAGCAAGCTAGACTATCAATTATTAAGAAAAGTGTGCAGGAAGAATAAATTCAACATACACGATCTGTTGACCCTCATTCTCTGGCTAGGGCCACCGAGTGGAACATAGTTACCTGTAATAACCAGGCATCACAATATGGACACCAGCACTTGGCTGGCAGATATCTGCGGCGCTCTTATCATCCATTTTGCGCACGGAGTCTGTGAAAGGTCCCGTGGCATTGATAACACATTTGGCTCTCACATCAAATTCCTGCCCTGTAAGAGAGAGCAGCATCAATCATACATCCCATTTGTTTCTCTGCTCACTGATGCTTTGGATTATTAATTCATCTATTAACTTAACCTACGGTGCAGTGTATTGTATACTACACTAAGTGACACGAGCAGCCAGAGTTATTGAAGAGCTACATAAAAGGTTTGCATTTGAGTAAATTTACCAAAAACAATTCCAAATTGGGGAAAATGCGGGGGGCGGGGGGGAGCGGCATGCCATGCTTTCATTTCTACTTTCAGTCTATTTTGTGAATGCCCAGCATCAAGGTGCCAACCTGAGCAAAGTGTGACGAGTAAATAAGACTAAAAGTTGTAAACAGAGCTGCTGTGAGATAATATTTTTCATAGCATTGGTTTTGTTCAACAAAATGATGTAATTCTGAAGCTTTGCCTACATGGTTATAGAAACAGGACGAGTGATTGACTTTAATGACATGCAAATGCACTGCCTATGTCACCTAAATGATACTTTGAAACTTGGTGCATTTATTTAATTTTATTAATAATATGTTTTTATAAAGAAAACAGACTGCATTCATAGCTGTGGGTATTTTGTGGGCATTTATTATGATCATTATCATTATTATTATTTAACACAAAGGGAAGAAATTGCCAAGTCCTACAAGGGAAAATTTCATGTTATAACAGTCATTGTTGACAATAAAGAACATAATTTGTATGACTTTGAAGCCTGCCTAAAACGAAAGAGAAGTGACAGAAAAATTATAATTCAGTCATTATATAAGCAAGGCAAGATGCTAAGAAATCCCTCCCTAACAGAGACCCTAACAGTTCATACCTGTGAGCACATCCTTGCACCGTGCGCCGCTCACGCGCTCCTTTCCTGTCTCAGGGTCCGTCTTCTTGAGCAAGCGCACAACCTCCATATAATTGGCTGTGGCAGCCCCGTACCTGGCAGCAGTGAGAGCAATGGCAAGGTTCATCCGTGCATCGTTGTGTTGTCCTGCAGCGGGGAAAGCATCAGAGGAAGGACAGGAGTCACCTCGAGCCACGGACTGGTGGTAAAGAAGTGTGTCACAACAGATGCGTCACATCTGTGCCTGTCACCCAGAATCTACATGATGGCTGGTCAGCTCTAGAGGGGACTGTTTAAAAATACATGGTCATACTCAGTCAGGCATTTACCTGCCACTTCAGCTTTAGCAAGCGTATTTTATGTACCTCAAAAATGGTGAAAAATATCCCTCTCCTACAATCATTGATTTTCTGACATCAGTGATCTGAAAGTTAAGAAATAAGTAATTATTCTCTCAGTTTTGGAACATATGTATATGTCAGATTTTCCTAACACAGACAAACCATAAGTATGAAAGTGAAGCAATTCAAAACTTCAGAAGATGTGACACCCCAACTGGTGTTGATTAACAATTTGTATGAGAATGTGCTCCATCTAATATTCAAAATCAAGAGCTCAGTCTTCCATAGAGAATCTCAGTGTTCTATAAAATGCTTTTTCTTCATTTGAATTTGGATCAGAGCTCCTTAAAGTGTAACTTTTTTTTTTTTTTTTAATGGCACATAAAAGGTAAGAAATTAAACAGGGCAAAATTTAATTACTGAACAATTCCTACCTGCATTGTTAAAGATTTATTGCTGAAAAATCCTAGTTAAAGAAAACTAAGGGGGAGAAGAAGGGGGGAAAGATAATTAATCACTTTAAAATACTGGCATCACTAGAGACTTTTTCTATTTATTATTGCCAGTGGAGTTAATGCTGACCAGGAAGAATTACTCTACATTGCAGGGGCCAGGTTCCCTGTGCCCTGAATAATTAATTACCCAGAGCTAGATGTATTGAAGTAGAGTTCAAACTCCCACATGCTGGGATCAGTTCTATCAAGATAATACTGATAAAGGGATGGATTTGTAGTGGATATTGCTGTTGATTTATGTTGCCAGCATACCAAACATTTAGTATAAATGGTTTATGTAAAGTTTCTTCCTTGTGATTCAGTCTGTGCAGGGCTAGAAGCACTACACAAGTAATCTATTCCAGCCAAAAGGGCAAAATTATAAAGACAGAATCAATGACTGAAGATTCTGCTGACCCTCCCCACAAACATCTTATTCTAAAACTGCTGAACTAATACAATCACCCAAGAACTTTTCCCCCAAAATTAAATGCTCTATCAAGCGGAGAACAAACATTAAACTTCAACATGCAGAATAAGAAGTTATTTTATCCAAAAAGTAACAGAGTGAAGGCAGAAGAGAGGGGGGAAAAAACAAAACAATAGCAGTAGCTGAGCTATATATGGGAAGAAACAAGCACAGCAATTCTATCAGTTGTCACCTAAGCATGACCCTAAGTTGCTATTGAAATAGTCACAAGGTATATTTAAAGTTAAGTTTAAGAAACCAACTTTTATTAATGTAGAGGTCCTTATTTAAAACAGGAATACTCTCAACAAAGTTAAATGCATGCAAAGAGTCCAGATAAACTTTACAGATCTTCTCTTTCAACTAAGGAGATTACAAAGCACCCATTTTTCTAGTAGAAATTACCCAAATCTTTCTAGTACCCAATCTTTCTAGTGCATTTATGTATATAACAATGAAACACCCAGCAGAGGTAAATATTTCATAGTGTAAGAAATCAAATTATGTTTACTCTTACCACAGGCGTGTGGCAGGGAAACTCTCGCCCATTCAGGTATACCTGAATACTTAATATACAGACAGAACAAATGTCTGGAAAATCATGTGTAAGTGAATTATTTTAAATACTAAATGAAGTCACTTCTAAATGGAGCCAGGCAGAAATTCCATTTATTAAATGACAGATTCCTTTATAAAGTCTTGTCTCTATTACACAATCATGAGCGAACAAAACTCTAAGCTGACTTTGAAAACATTCTTATTTATATTAATACATACATATATATATTTACAACTTAAAAGTCCATGACAGCAGTAACAGTATAGTTCATCAAGCTGTTTCTTCTATACTGAGAAGTACCTCCCAAATTAGCTTCTAAGTTCCAATACTATTGAGGGTGTTGTTGTTGTTAGGTGCTGTCTAGTTGATTCCTACTGAAGGTAAGCAGTTAAAAATGCGAAGTGGAAGTAATTTTCTTCGGTCCTTATTTTTCCACCCTCACCCTGGGCACCCAGCAGTATCAGCTGTGACTTGAATTGCATATGTCACTTATTTATGAAGGTCCTTCATGGAATGATCCTCATCTGCCTGGTAATTCTTCCACTCCCGTATCCTTACTATCTAGGATTGTCAAATTATGTGCAGATCCATGAACACCCATGTCGTTTCACACCTTCCTGCATTTGCCCACACCAATTCTTCTGGCTGGAATACCATTCTCGAAGCTCTAGAAAACTCCTATTCATCATTAATGATCTGGTTCAAGTATCTCCCCATGACATCTTCCTTTTTTGGTTCCCTCCAAGTCAAAGTTGTTCATTCCTTCCTTCCTCTAGCTCAACATTATAACCTGCACATTGTTTTTTCATAGTCTTTGTTCTGGTGGTTGTTAGATGTCAAGTCAGTTTTGACTCATAGCCACCTTATGTACAACATAACAAAACACTGCCAGGTCCTGTGCCATCCTCACAATATTTGCTATGTTTGAGCCTACTGTTGCAGCCACTGTGTCAATCCATCTCGTTGAGGGTTTTCCTCTTTTTTGCTGAACCTCTACTTTACCAAACATGATGTCCTTCTCCAGGGACTGCTCCCTCCTGATAACATTTCCAAAGTATGTGAGATGAAGTCTTGCATCCTCCCTTCTAAGGAGCATTCTGGCTGTACTTCTTCCAAGACAGAATTGTTCGGTCTACTAGCAGTCCATGGTATAGTCAATATTCTTTGCCAACACCATAATTCAAAGGCAACAATTCTTCCTCGGTCTTCCTTATTTATTTTTCAGCTTTTGCATGCATACGAAGCAATTGAAAATACCATGACTTGGGTCATGTTCACCTTAGTTCTCAAAGTGACATCTTTGCTTTTGAACATTTTAAAGAGGTCTTTTGCAACAGATTTGCCCAATGCAATGTGTTGTCTGATTTCTTGACTGCTGCTTCCATGGGCGTTGATTGTGGATCCAAGTAAAATGAAATCCTTGACAACTTCAATAGCTTCTCCGTCTTTATCATGATGTTTGTGTATTGGTTCAGTTGTGAGGATTTTTGTTTCTTTATGTTGAGGTATAATCCATACTGAAGGCTATAGTCTTTGATCTTCATCAGTAAGTGCTTCAAGTCCTCTTCATTTTCAACAAGCAAGATTGTGTCATCTGCATATTGAAGGTTGATAATTAATTTTCCTTCAGTCCTGATGACATAATCTTCTTCATACAGTCCAGCTTCTCAGTTTATTTGCTCAGCATACAGATTGAATAAGTATGGTGAAATGATACATCTGTGATACACACATTTCATGATTTTAAACCATGAAGTATTCCCTTGTTCTGATGGAATGACTACCTGCCGGTCTATGTACAGGTTTCGCATGAGCACAATTAAGTGTTCTAAAATTCCCATTCTTTGCAAAGTTATCCATAGTTTGTTATGATCCACACAGCTGAATGCCTTTGCATAGTCAATAAAGCACAGGTAAACATCTTTCTGGTATTCTCTGCTTTCAGCCAAGATCCATCTGACATCAACAATGATATCCCTCATTCCATGTCCTTTTCTGAATCTGGCTTGAATTTCTGGCAGGCCCCTGCTGATATACCGCTGCAACCATTTTTGAATTATCTTTAGCATAATTTTACTTGCATGTGATATTAATGATATTGTTCAATAATTTCTGCATTCCATGGATCACCGTTCTTTGGAATGGGCATAAATATGGATCTCTTCCAATTAACTGGCCACGTAACTGTCGTCCAAATTTCTTGGCACAGATGAGTGAGCACCTCCAGCACTGCATCTGTTTATTGAACTATCTCCACTGGTACTCCATCAATTCCTGGAGCCTTGTTTTTTGCCAATGCCTTCAGTGCAGCTTGGACTTCTTCCTTCAGTACCACTGGTTCTTGATCATATAAATGGTTGAATGTCGACCAATTTATTTTTAGTATACTGACGCTGTATACTCCTTCCGTCTTCTTTTGATGCTTTCTGTATCGTTCAGTATTTTGTCCATATAATCCTTCAGTATTGCAACTTGAGACTTTTCAGCTTGAGAAATGCTGAGTGTGTTCATCCCTTTTGGTTAGAACTTCAGGTCTTTGCACATTTCATTATTTTACGGTACTTTGTCTTTTCAAGTCACCCTTTGAAATCTTCTGTTCAGCTCTTTTACTTCATTATTTGTTCCGTTCACTTCAGCTATTTTATGTTCAAGGGCAAGTTTCAAAGTCTTTTATGACATCCATTTTAGTATCTTTTTTTTCTTTTCTGTCTTTTTAACGACCACTTGCTTTTTTCATGTATTACGTCCTTGATGTCATCCCACAACTTGCGGTTTTTTTGTCATTAGCGTTCAGTGCATCAAACCTATTCTTGAGGTGGTCTATAAATTCAGGTGGGATACACTCAAGGTTGTTCTTTGGCTCTTACGGACTTGTTTTAATTTTCTTCAGCTTCAACTTGAACTTGCATATGAGCAATTGATGGCCTGTTCCGTAGTCAGCCCCTGGCCTTGCTTGTTCACAGTCTTTAGGATACTATATTCCTCCATTCATCCATCCACTTAAAAAAAGAATAAGCCTCTACTTGAGCCAGACTGTAACATATGCTAGGAATACAACAGTGAGAAAGACACAGGGAGAGAGAGCTCTACACTCATGGAACTTAAACCAAGGCATTTACCGTATGATTTCGCATGTTTCATCTCAGTCATAGGGAAGCAGAAAGCCAACTTGTTCGTCTTTCTTTTTCCCCCTTAAGTATCAGGCACAGAATAGGTATCCAGTAAATGTTGAGTTTGGAGTCCCTGGGTGGCGCAAATGCTTAATATGCTCAGCTGCTAACGTT